GAAACCTTTTCCCTAAACAAACTTGCAATTAATGTGGACTTACCCTGCAGACAGATTAAACTGAGGAATTTCCCTTCCTCGTGCATACGTCTCACCTTGTGCTCTACTTGCTGTGCATTGGAAGGCTGTGTTCCCTGCTTCATCTCACCCCGTTTTTCCTTGCACCGTTCCGGTCTCCGTTAAGTATCCTGAAACTGAGTGACCACAGCTTTATGTGGCATCCAGAGGAGCTTTAACTCTTGTGTTATCTAATGGCATCAACCATTTCTTCTCTGTTGGTAATGGATCTTCTCATGCTGTGTTTGGTGCTATTCAAAATGATGCATTTCAGATGTTAATCTTATAACTGTAAGCTAGCGTTCTTTTAATCTCCATTTCTTAAATGACTCTAAATTAACTTCCTTTTGAAGTTTCTGCATAATTAAATCTTTCGTAAAACGTCAAGGCCAGCTACATTTGAACCTACATGAAACCTACAGAAAAGGTTCTCTGGTTCTAGTTCTCTAGTTAAGAGAAGTTAGCATTTGTTTCTGGGCAGACTCTGTGGGAGTGATGTTCCTTAGGAGTTCCAGCAGGAGGCTGTTGGTAATGGTTTGGATGAAAACAGAATTAGCAAGTCTGTGCAGAACTGCCTGTCACATTAGCTAGAGAAGCACCCTGTAAAATGGCCGTGGGTCAGCAAACTGTGGCTAACAGAGGGACTTTGTGAAGAGGAGGGCTAGAGGTTTTGAATGAGCTGCTGTTGCCTGGTCAGTTTCGGCAGTCTCTTCACAGTTAAAATTGTACCTGCAATCTTAAGGTGCAAAATAGGGTTGCTGATAGCTAGAAAAATGCCCCAGCATGTCGATTAAATTCAGTATGTACTGGGAAGAAAAACACTTCTTTCAGCTGACAGAATGTATTACATACCTTTTGTCTTTCTGGCCACTAAGATTTGTCTCTTACAGTCTAATTCATGAGAAGCCATTTTGAAGAACAGAAATGGTTGAGTTTCAGAACCTGTCAATTATTTGAAAACTAGATCCACATCTCCATCTATGAAGCTGAGTGGAGAAGTAGAAGCATGCTGCTGCAAGTGCTTCAACAGCCCACAGCTGGCAGTTACAAAAGTACTGGCTTTACAGTGGGACAGGAAATAGGGTAACAAATTCCTTTTGCTCTCTGTGACTAAATCTGAAGAATATGATGATGGGTGCTGGATGATTTCACAGACTTGGGGTATAAAGAGAATTGCTGACTTTAGAAATTCTACCTCCTGCTCTCAGAGCAAGCTAATACTGAAGGTAAAGAAAGAAGCAGAAATGTTACTAAAAGCTGTGTGATGTCAGAAGGGTTGGTGTGACTTCAGCTATCAACAAAACTCAAAATTCTTCGATTTGTTACAAATTACGGGAAGTTTTTCTCGGTTTGCATTTGTAGCAACTTTCTGTGACAGAGAGGCACTTCTTTCGCAGTGTTTTTAAGGTGTATGTAGGCAGGAAGTAACCTCTTTTTTTAAACACCAATTTAGGAGCTGCAGGGCTGGATTTTCAGCAGAGCCTGTCTGCAGCTTTAGGCACCTGTGCTTTAACATACACCTTTAAGAACTCAGGGATGCTGCATAGCTATTTTTATGGCAGCGTCGATACTCCCTTTGGTGTCAGCCTATGGGATGTTAATTTTCTATTGCAGAACGAAACCTAAACCCTAAAGCAGCCTGCCTTAAGAGAAGGGAAGAAGAAAAAGTTTCTGCCGTATCGGCAGAGCCGCCAACACCACACCCAGGAAGCCACCCTGGCCTGAGTGAAACTACCAACCCTATGGGTCATATGTGAACACCAGCCAGGTAGGTCTCTTGTCTGGGGCGGGGTGCCTGGGGTGACGCTGGATCTGATTGTTACATTCTGTTGGCTGACATTTGGAAGATGATCCGCTTATTCTAAGCTGTGGTGCTGCCTCTAGTATAAACTTCTTGATGTTGCCAAGTACTTTCGTATTTCTCAGCACAAGCAAATTATGCAGGTTTGTGTAGTTTGATAATAATAATGAGATTAGAGTGAAATTTTCTTCTTTTGCATGTGTTTTTGTTTATGGATAAAGCTCTTGGCTCAGGTGGCCTTCTTGGCGTCACATCAGAGGAGTAGTTAGCAGCTTGCTAGATAAGCCAAGAATAATAGAGATTGATTATATATACTTAAGTGGTCTAAATATCACTTTTGTTCATTTAAAAATCCACGTATTGCTTCCCAATGCTGGTAAAAACAGCTAGAGATGCTTCTCATCTCACAGAGGTTTGCTGTCTGCCCTAAGGCTGTTCGTTTTAACTTGTATCTTCTGCCCAGCAGAGATTGCTAGCTCTTAATTCACAGTCTGTGTTAGTGAAGATAGGTAAGATTCAAAAAGCAGTGCGTGCAGCTTTGCAAGACAAACCAGTGTTTCCAAATGCTCCAAGCAGCGCAGTACAAGATAGTTCATGTAGAACAGTGCAGACTCCTAAGGTGTTTGGTAGTGCCCGTCTGTAGCAGCAGTGATCAAATTAGACACTGTCTCTTGCTTATTTTAGAAATAGGAATACACAGGTCAAAGTCAAATCGAATTGCAGTTTCTGAGGTCTCAGCTTCACAGGTAATGCTTCTTCTGTACCCAGAGTCTAAACACGTCATTTTCCTGAGACTAAACCGTTCCCTGCCACTAACCCCGAGAGGGCAGACCATTGTCAAGCTTTTATTTGTGGACATGTTTAATTCTTGCTAGTCTTGGCATCCTGATTACTTTTTACAGCAGTTGCGTACTTTTTTAAAACCAAAATAAATTGTTGAACTGAAGAACTATGGTGAAGGTTGTTTTTAACTGCCTTTGCATTAGAAAAGAGAAAATAATGCCCTGTTTCTATACTTGTTTCTAGCAGGTGAAGATTTCAGTAACTACTCAGTTGTTGATGTAAATCTGGCTCATAGCAGACAGATGCTGGTGTTTGAGCAGGATGGAGATGCAGCTGCCCTGCCTCCCTGTTAGGAGGTTGGATGTTGTTAGTTTTTATGCCTGTGCTGGATGTGCTCCAGGAAAAAAGATTTCAGGACCCCTCAGTGTGATACTCTTCCGCACTTCATATCTGACTGAAAATGCCGTAAATTCCAGTTCAGATCGGTTCAGTAATGTCGATATTATGCTTCTTACTGTTTCTTTTCCTAATATCTTTTTCTCCTCCCAAATTTCTTGCTAAAATTCCAGAATTATTGGTAGGATACACAGAAGGTGACCTTTCTTCACAAGGACACAGACAACTAACATTATATGAAGACACAAACCTGACAGGAGAAAACACTTGAAGCAAGAAACCCAAATGCAATCTTATGATCAAAGCTACTGGTCAACACCTGCATCAGGATTGAAGATAGAGGATCTTCAGATAGAATTTCAGCCCGTGAAATACTCTGAACATATCATTCTGTTGCAAGCAGTGTGTCGCTTCTGCACAATCAGAGACTGTTGTGATCTCTCCACTCATTGTGGAAGTTGCCTTGTGCCTAAACTGAATTGACAAATGCATTGTAACTACAAATTTTATTTATTGTTATGGAACTGTAAAGGTCTACATATAAAGGGAAAAGTTAACATGTTAAAAGCTGATACAGTTTCAGCTGGATGCCAGCATTTATTAAAGCTGTTCACATTCAGAGAACAAAGCAGTGACAACCGTCGACCCGTAGCATTCCCAGCATACCTATTAGTGTCTTAAAAAAGGAAGGGAAAAGTCTTTTGTTGTCCTTTCCTCTCCTTTTGCCATATGACTAGTGTTTTCCACGCAATAGGAAAGTATTCCTTGGTATAGCTTTTTTTATGTTATTTTTGGTCTCTGGTAATCTGAACAGTTATGGTCATAGTTACCCTTCCATACTGAGCTCCGTGTTTCAGGCCGGTGAGGGGCCTCCTGAGCAGGCTCCACAGGAGCAGTGCTGTGACCATAACATTTCGTAGATTTAAAAATTGATTTTTATTTTCCCTCAGACTTTCCTCAAATGTTTTTTTTTCTAATTATAAACAAAACCTTTTTAGGCTTCTAGGCTTCATAGTAAAGCTTGTAACGTGAAGTGTAAATTGGGTGGGGAGAATCTACTTTGTTAGAGTTGCTTTGTTTTCCGAGCAGTAAGTACTACATATAGTACATGTAAAGTGTTAGCTGTACGTAAGCACAAAATGCATTAAAATACAAAGGAGATTTTTTTCAGGCTGTATCTTTGGTGAATGGTAAAATCCTCAATTCACCGTGGCAGGTAGTGTGATGACATAGCCACCAGTAAGGTGGGCTTATTTACCTAGTGGAATATAAGAGCAATGGTCACCAGTTTTTCCTTACTGTGTACATCAGTTATCTTGTCATTTTTGTATGGCTTGTCAGTGGAGAAAAATCAGTGTGAATCAAATGCAAACAAATGACCCCTCCCAAGCCATATTAACATTAAACCATTAAATGTTTCTCCACCAGAACAGTGTCCATAAGTATTCCTTTGTCACAAACGTGTTGAAATGGTTAAAATCCCTTTGAACTTCCATGGAAACTGTCTTCCACTGCAATGACCATGGGAGGAAACTTCCTAAGCCAAGGTTGTCTGAGCTATTGTTTATATAGTGCATCTTTCATTACTGGTAATTGGTTCACCATACAAAACAGGAACAAAACAGTACTTTTTCTGGAGTCGTTTAATTTGAAAGAACAAAAGCTGGATTGTTAAAATAAACTAATGAATTTAAGCTCACGTTTTCAATGGTTCCTAACAGAACAGTTTGTGAAAATAGTGGATTCATTTCTGTTACTTTAATTTGCATATACCATCAGATAACACCTGATTATATCTGTGGCCTTGTTCTTCATTTCAGTGTTTATTGGCTAAACAAATTTGTTGCTTATGACGTGTGAAAGTGATCACGTACCACTGCCTGGCCTTTTTCCTTCTAAGCTTGTTGTCTTTTTGGCTATATTAGACTTTGCAGTATGCCCAGAAGCTTTCCTTCATAAAATAGAAAGAAAAAAACATTTGGCTTATTTTTCACTGTAGCTAGTCTTTTATACAATAATCTTGTAAGAAAATTTCTTGAATTCTAAATATTACTCTTTCTAGATTTTTGAAATCGAAAAAGTTTTCAGTAAAAAGTTTCTTACTTTATTTTACTATATTAGGTAGTAAAAATGTAGGGTTATTTACCATAACCTGTTCATTAATATCAGAAATTTACAATAGCATTGTAAGACCATAGTAGGGTTCTAGCATACCGTGTAGTACCTATGGAGTATTGTAAGAGCTAATTGTCCGAGATGAATTGCTTCTCATCTTGTTCTCCAGTTTCCATTGTTGGTTTATTGCAGATTTGTACCCTGTGTCAAATTTCAAGGTATTGCTGATAAACCTTTCCAACCAGCAGCGAGAAGTTCAAAAACTTTCTGTCAATGTAACAGAAAACACTATGTATATAACATTTATGTAGCAATAAATGTGCCATCTTTTTTTAACATGGTAAATCAGTGAGTTTTTTAAATTTCTCTCTTGTAGGTACTGTGTTGCTTGAAAAGCACAGGCAAAACAGCTTCTGCCTTTCTCCAAGCAGAACTAACATACATTCTCAAAGCAGGCTCAAGGGGCCGGTGCAGAAATCCCTGCTGAGGAGGAGCGCCCCGTCTGCCCTCCTGCTGGATGCGGAAGGAGCTGCAGAGGCCAGCAGCAGTCGAGCAGAGGCCGCTCCCCATAGGCACCGCCCTGCTGCTGCGTCTTGCGCCTTGCCTTTGCTGTCCCTAAGACGCGCCTGTAGCATCTGCGCTCCTCCTGTGTACTGCACTTCATGGTGCTGAGTAGCTGTGAACTGACTGGTGCACCTGTGCGTGTTTTGTGGAAAAACAACGTCCATGGCTTAAGCTTGAATTGAAAACGTGGACGGTTTTTCTTCTTGCAAGTGTGAATGAAAGAAAATGGAAGTACGCAGTTTTCAAATCATACCAAGGCAGCAGTGAAGTCTTCACGTCTAATTCGTAACTGCTTAAGCCAAAAGCCCCACAAAACAAGCAGACTTTAAATCTGTTTTCTTTAACTCTACTCTAAGGAAAATATCCCTGCAAAAGCACACAGCGAAAAAGGCAAACAGATGCCACGTATGTCAGTGAGGTGGTGTTTGCCGCGCAGTGTGGCTGCTGTGTGCGGCCTTGTTTCCAACTCCTAGTTCTGCCTGCTCCTGTGCAGTGATTAAGTTCTAGTTTATGCTTGTCAGCGTGGTTTACTGGTGAGTTTTCTGATGTGGCAGTGCTTCTACAGAGAACTTTCTAACATGGTCTGACCACGTGAGACTCAGCCATGTAAGTACGTGTTTTAGTTGTTAACCTCTGTTAGGAGCTGTGGAAGTGGTGCCTTGGTGCCTTCCCCAGCTGAATCTAGAGTTCTAAATTCTAAGTTACTCCATTACTAATTTTAAATCCAGCCTTTGAGCGTGCAACCACTCTTGTTCTCTTTTTGAATGAGTCCCGTAAGTTTTAATGTACTTCAGAGAGGAAAAACGGCATTTTCCCCTTTGTCTTTTCCACGCTTTTGCTGTCCTGTTCACATCACTTTCTGATCACCAGTCTTTCATTCCTTTGTTTTGTTTTGTTCTACGTTTCCTTTCTTTCTCCGTTTTACTACTTGCTTTTTTCCTATTTTGCTGTTGTTTTTTGTGGAAAGGCACATAGGACACCCTTAGCAGGTAACATTCTGCTTCTAGAAAACTCTGAGCACCTGAAATACTGTGTGGAAATTTTTGTCTGAACTGAAAGCATTGAGACAATCTTAAAATGGAGGCCATCTTTCTTTCTCTAGCATTGGGTAGATACTATCTAAGAAGTCAGTTCTGGATGTTTTATGGAAGAGTTAAAATTTCCCCCATTAATTGTGGCAAAACAGGTGGCAGCAGTCTCTGAAAGACAATTCAAATCCTGGAAAGCAAAGTTTGCCTTTGCAGAGGGCTGCCCTGCAGAGAGGAGCCTTCTGCTGCCCACCTGCAGAGAGGAGCCCTGCCTTCTGCTGCCCACCTGTCCTGTGCAGTGGGACAGTGCTGGTGAGGAGATACTGCAGCCTGCAGAGAATGGGATCTGGCAGAAAGGGGGAAAGTTGTGCAGTTAGGAGGCTGCACCAATCCTTTTTTCTCTTCCCTGTGGAGGAGCAGTCAGGTGCCATTTGCAGAGAGCATTCTGTACCATTACAACATTTGTTTTTCTGAATGGTTAATCCCCCATCAACATGGATGCCATAGCAAGATCATATGAGTTTATCCCCTTGTGCAAACATGGTATACCGTTGGAGTGATATCCCAAGCAACTCCATGTGCATGGTCAGAATGACATCGGCTGGTTAGATGTTTGATTGCAGCCACCTGGGAATGTTTGTATTGGACATAAACTGCACAGACCAGGCCTAAGTCTCTCCATAACTGCAGTCATCTGTGTTGTAAAGAGAATCTCTGTCAATGCTCCTAATTTCAACTTTCCAAACTTTCTGAAGCGCTTGACGGCATCTGTTAAATAAGAACTGATTAAAAAAAAATCAGAAAAAAAGTGATATCAAATATAAAATCTGATAGAAATCTGAAAATGTCGCTCAGAACTGATCCTGGAGGGCAGATCTGTGAGAAAGTCAGTGCTGAATATTTTGGCATTCTGGTTATTTCAGGTAAACCGGAGAGATGAGAACATCAAAGCCATTTCATTTTCTAGAGAGATCCACTCTGTTTTTAACAGTGCCTCCGAAATGCGTAGAGACAAAAGGAACATAATGTAGGCTACGTCTGCAGGAATGATAGCTGCTGCTAAAAGTGATTGAACAGATGAGAGAATAATTTGCAGGATAGCTCAAAATTCTACATTCACCGACATCAGATGCGGAGCTGGAAAAGCACAAGACGTACCTACGCAGGTCACAGATGGAACAAATTCTACTCCTTTCATCTTCCACTCAACACTCTGAAATATTAAGATCAACTTGTTTAGGAAAGCTCAACAATCCAGCTCTTAAAAAAAAAAAAAAAAAAAAGTAAATGGACATGATAGTAAACCTGTGTGGAAAACAAAGTCATCAGTTTCTTGCTAACCTGATAAGGTGGATTTTTGGTACAACTCTTATGACCTGCTGAGGCCCTTTCTGTCTGCCCTGGCTAAGGAAGACTTGGGGAATGCCAGAACACACTGGTCTAGATTACTTGTGTACATTCATTAAGTTCAGTGGTTTGTTATGCTTGTAGAAGTTGAGACATAATTGTGCACTAGTGCACATCTTCTCTATCCAGCTTGCAAAGAGGAAAAGGAAATATTGGTGGTAGAAAAGTAGCTTAGTCTTTAATACTCAAATACGACCAAAGAAATTTGATCAATATTAATGACTCTGTAGTAAACATAAAAATCAGTTATCCACACCAAAATTATAAATTCATCTGTGGACTGAGATGTCAGTGAAAGAGCATTTCTCAGCCTTTTATTCCCCAGCACCCACAGATGAGCAGATAAACAGTACCGGAAGCACCAGCTTATCAGAAGCAACCACTGGTCATATTTTGTACGTTTATTAGGCACCAAGTAACCAAAATGTTCAATAACTGATCGTTTGTTTCGATCCAGACTTCCAATCGACTGCATCTCAAAGATGAACATTGGTGAGACTTGTCCTGTGCCACTCGATCCTGTTCAAATGGTTTTACTTTCCTGACTACCAGCTTTGGTTTCTTCTTTCTGTATTTGAAAAAGATTTTAAATGAATTTCACAAAAAAAAAAAAGACATTTTGTCCCCTTACTATTGGCTTAATTTTGTTTGTTGCATAAGGTGTGGCAAAGTACTCCCAAATGACATTCTCTGAATATTGAAAAAACCTGCTTCCAAGATCAGATTACTCCCTCAGGACGTTTGTTGGCTTGATATTTACTGTGTGGGCCCCATTCGCTCAGACTGAAATCTTAGTGTGCAAGAACAAAAAGTCCTCATCTCAAAAAATTTGGAGCATATTTTGAAATGTCATCAGAACAGTCAGTGGACACCTGCAAAAGCTGAAAAGTGTATCACAGTACTGTCTTCTAAAGGTGACAAGGAAAGGAAGCAAGTCTTGCGGGTATGAGTAAAAGGTGTGTTAGGACAGCACCTAGCAGAAGAGAGCTCACATTTTAACTGATCTTCTGCATGATAAAAACATAAATGCTGATGTATCTAGCAGTGAATATAAGAGAGCACATTAATCCTTAACGCTACCTAATTAATTAAGACAGGTGCCCACAGTTTTCATTTAAAGTCAGTTGGCTGTTTCTAGCTTTAAAAGGGTAATGTTAAAGTAAATGTCCATTGATTTGTTGTTCCGTATACGGAAGTATAACAAATATGTTAATAAAGCTCTCACTATTTTGGATGTAAATACAGATACTGTGTTTGTGGGAGCATCAGAGGGTATCAATGAAACAATAAGGGTGGATCTGTTACACTTTACTGTCTGTTTTTCTGGCTTGGCTATTTTACATGTCCAGGACAACTGATGAAAACCACAACTGCAACTGCTTTAATTCTGCCATTTCTGTAACAGCTGACTTTTCACTGTAAGGCTGTGCAAACAGAGCTTTCACTACATACTTCTATAGGTCTTCCTGAACCACCGCTCTCGTTCAGTCTGTCCTGCCCTGCCTCCCTCCAGTTTCCATTGCCTGAGATGCAGCCTCCAAACTACACTGCTTACAAGAAAGCTTCAAACTTTCAGGTTCCAAGCACCTACGTCTGCTACTTGCAAAACTTAAAAGATTTCAGCCCAAAATCTGATCAGTTCCCATGTGTAAATTCTGTGTTGTAATAGGTGCTAAAAGCAGAAGCTGCATCTGGAAAGCAACAGGCAACTCGTGTACCCATCTCTAACGGTACAGGTACAGATGCTATGCCAAGACACAAATTAAGTCATTTGGGGTTATTCTGGTTGTTTCACTGTTGGACTGTGCAGCTGTATGCCCCTCTTACTGTCAGCTGTCCTCTCTCTCTTTCCTACTCGTGCTCACACATGGTGAGCTTCATACACCCTGCCATAAATCAATTCCTATATTCTTTGAGGTATCTGCTTCCTTCCTTTTCCCAAATACAAATGGCAAAGGATTGGCAATAATCTGGGAAAAAGAATAAGATAATGTAGCCCACATTTGTTTTAAATTTATTTCACTTTTTTTTGTAATGCTTAAGCCCCATATGGAATGAGAAGGACATCTGAAGGAATTTTCATCTCAGATCTGAGCTGCTGCACTACAACCATGTTATTCTTCCCTTCTGTATGTTTGCTACAGTAATTCTTAGGCACCCCATCCCATTAAAATCCCCTCTGCCCAAGGGCCCTTAATCCCAGGAGGACGTATACACAGTTTATGCCCTTCTCATTTCAGTAGGCATACTTCTCTATTTTGTACTTAGTTCATGTTATTTCTTCATAGGCCAGAAATCTGAAGCTTACAGATCTGTCTGTGCATTCTCCAGTTCACAAGGTAAGGTTATGTGCAACCGGAAGGTCAAATTATTAAGCCTCACTGCTGCTTTTTTATTAGACAATTGGAGGTAGAAATTCCAATATAAAAACCTACTTTACTTCTCTGTGAGTAAAGCAAAAGTAGTGCTTGAAAGCAGGGTGGGTGTGGGAAAGTAAGTACATTGCATCTGTGACTTTATAAAGTGATTTGGAGACATCCATTTTGCAACCATTGGGAAGAAATGAAGAAACTGGGTGGGTGGTGTAAAAGAGGGGAAACTGTGAAGAACAAATGTTTAACTGCATTCAATTGTAAACACAGTGATAGTCAGTAAACAACCTCTCTGAAGAGAGTAATTAATAGGCACATGTGAAGAGATGGAAAAGAAGATGTATGCCTCTACATCAAAGGGCAGGCTGGACAGTGAGAAATTAAGCATACCCCAAGGAGGCCACACAGCTGAGTGCACGCTCAGTGAAGAAACATTATGAGCTAGAAAAAAGGAGGAATGAGGAGGTAAGACAAGCACTGAGAAAGGAGTTGTAAAATAACAAAGGAGGCAACTTGCTCTGCAAGAAAGGGAGCAGCAGTAGAGAGCAGGGAGGTCTAAGCAGGTCACCTCTCTCTGTGGAGGGGTCAAGTTGCAGAGTTTTGCAAGGCTGTTGAGTGATAAGATAGCACAGTAGGTAGCCATGAAAATAAGATAAGAGAACTGAGGAGGGAGGAGGCACTGACATAAATGGTGCTTCACTCTGATTCCCCTGCCTCGTGCTACATCTGAAAGCAGAAAACTGGGGCTGTTGGCCCGTTGGACAGGAATGGCGATAAAAATAAATCATATCCTCTGTTTCCAGTACAGACAGATGTTTCCAAAAGCGTGGGGGAAGGGCACTTCTGTACAGGGAGGAAAGGTACTTACAGAATCCAAAATTCATTGTCTGTTCTCTATAAGGTGGTGTCATGACTAACTCAGTAATGTACGTACTCAGCTCCAAAAGGGGATTTGGAAGTTTCCAAATGGGAACGGCTGCTTTCACAAATGTTCAGCTGAAAGAGAAATCCAAGTTCAGAACGAAGGAAGCATTCTTTTTGTCCCTCAAAAAGCACATGTGAAGCTGAGAAGAACTAATCAGAGAACCTGAGGCCAAAGAGTGTGAGATTCCCAGTGTCCCGGGTGGTCTTTACTGTAAATTCTATTAGTGTCATCTGTGAAAAATGGTTTCCTTCAAAACCTAATTGAAACTGGGGTAGGGTAGACTTTCCCAGCTATTCTGATTTACAGTCTAGCATGAGCAAAAAAGATGTATGTTAACAGTATTTTTTTGATCTGAAGTTGCAGATCAGGTACTCCCAGTTTGTACAGAGATGTAAGAAATGGTCAGTTCCTATTTGAGTTCCTTGGACATGCCTTTTTGCTGTATAAGCAGCTTTAGTGAGATTAACTAACCTCTGTCAGACACAGCACTAAAAGAGTGAGAAACCTATAATAAAGGCTGGAACCAGAAGCATCTAATGCACAGCATATCCTGTCTTCTTGCAAGAGCTCTCCTCTTGGGTTTGATACGTGCTGTGGGGATCTGTGAAAATTGAGAATTGCTGTGATTTCTCTAATCCTTTTGGCAGATGTATACCTGCAGGTGACACATAGAGGGAAAATGTATCTTTTAACATACAGAGATCACAACTGTAGGTCACACAAAGCAGGGAATTACTTTGCATCTTCACTATCAGTCCTGTGTTTAGAACTATGCAATTGCCCTGTTAGTCATTTTCTATCTCCCTCCTGCTGAGACAGCAGTTCAGGTTCTTTCTTTAGCAATATACTGCAGACTAAGCTATCAGTTCCTCATGAACAGGGAACCCAAAAGGGGCTCAGTACTTACGGATCTAGAATAAATACACCATTATTCTTACCTGGATTATTTGTTTCATACCACTAGTTATTTTTCCAGCTTTTACGTATGACTAATGGCATTTTTGGAGGGTCAGACATTCCAAAGTTGCCTACTCCAGGGAAGAAACTTCGTGTTTCAGCAACTGCAAAATGTTGGCTGCAGTTACTGTGAAGAATGGAATTGCAATTAAGTCTCTACAGTCTTTACAGGCATGCCTGAAAAACAAAGTATCAGTACTACAGTTCTAAGAGGTCAGTAAGGCACTGTTCTTTGCTGACAGACTACAGACTGTGCATGCCTCAATACTCCCGCTTACTGGGCTGGTAGAGATAATGTTTATTGTGCAGCAGAACAGCTTCACTTTTAGGGCAGGGGTGTTGCCTCTGCAGTTCTTTGGAATCCTCTTTGCCGGAAAGCAACCCTGTATTATCCTCCAGAGATCAGCCAGGGCTGGTCTCCCATCTGTTCAAGGATCTGCACCTGTTTTTCATTTTACCAATAGTGGCCACATGGCCTAAGACTGTGAGGGAATACAAAGAAGAAAATTAATGTGTAGCTGAGGCACTGAAGTTGGGCTCAGAATCTCTGAGTTCAAATTCTGACTGTGCTCTATAACCTCAGTAAGTTCTTTAATTTCTGACGGCCTTAACTTCATCTGTAAAAGAGAGAAGGGAATGATTATTATACTTCCTTCCAGGTTTTTTGTTTGTTTGTTTATTTTAAAGAAATTGTAGATAAATTGTTCTTTCCTCTTCCTTGTATTTCACCTAGTTCAAAAGACTTTGCAGAAGTAGAAGCTCTATAAAAGACATCAGTGACAATTACAAAGACCAAGCACATCTCCCATCCATTTCCTTAACTCTGATAAATAGAAAGGAATTTCTTTAGAAAAGTTTCTCTATTTCTTCCTGCGTAAATGACAGTATCCTTTAGACACTGCTCCAGTAGTGCAGAAATGCCCTAAGAGTATTCTGAGTGTTTGTGTGCAATTGCAGTATGTGGATCCTGTCATTCTTTGTTAATCTGAAGCTGAGTCATATTCTAGCTGCAGAATCATGTTCAGCTTTGGAGACATACAAGGGTAGCGTACACATCAATTCCATGCCTCTCTCATGTCTTGGGCTGAATAGTCCTTAAATTTGACATTGTACATTTCTTTGTGTTCCTTGCTCTTGAAAAAGTTCTTGCCCTTTCTCCCTGTTCATGTTATTTATTGCTTCATCAACCAACTCTGTGTTTACACTCCAGTACAACAATTTGGCTGCAGCTTGTGTTGACAGCCTGTAGATTGCTTTAGATGAAATAAAGAGGGTAACTGTCAGGTGCTATGAAAGTTCTTAGCAGCATGTGGTAATACAATGAAAACTGGGGACATGCTGACCTTGCTGAACATTGTAGGCTTCTCTAAGTGTCTCTTAAAGAGCTCAGTGTCAGAGATCCTTGCAAGTCAGTCCTGAATTCCCAACCCAAGCTCCACTTACATGAAGTATATTCTCACAATTTTTCTGACCTAGCTGGGGATTTAGTTGATTGTAACTGTTCTCAGAGCTGCTTTTCACCTTGAGCTTCACTCAGCTTCTATTGAAAGCTGCTGGGATTTGTCATTGAATTCAATGGAATTAAGCTCAGGCCTTTATCAGAAAGTTTGTTTTTTGCTGAAAGTTTGATTTCCATGTGATATATCTGAAAGCTTTCAATTATCGCACTGCCTTTGAAATGGGAAATTGACAAACTGTTATCTCTGGGAGCTTGTCAGGTTGGTTGCATCGGATCATAGGTAAATTCATGCCGAGAGGTTGCTATTGAATTCTTTATGTTTGATCCTAGGTGATTTCTTTTTCTTTCCATCATATTGCTCCTTTCCTTATTGAATAATTCCTTTACTCCTTACCCGTTAACTCCTTTGCAGGTAAGAGATGTGGGATTAGGCATTTGCCCTTTGCAAAAGACGTGGATTAGATGTAAAACTCTCTTATGCCCTTCTAAACATCTTTAGCTCCTGCTACATAAGATATAAGGCAGTACTGAACTCTGGTGTGATTCAGTTATGAAATACACAGTTGATGGTGATTCCAGTACCAGCCACTAGTGGTAACTGAGTGCCATGTTAACCATTCAGCTATTGACTAGGAATCAGCTACTAATTTAGATCGTGGTTTATCTTCCTCTGCCAATCCTAGTATAAAGGGGAACATTTAGCCCTCTTGTACTTGGCTCTTGGTATTACTGCAGGCCAGTCTTCCTGCTTTTCATTCATGTAGTTTCAGATATTTTACTTCCTGCTGCATCCAGGAACTAAGCAGGCATCATCAGACTGTAAAAAGTTAATGTGGGAGTAGGGAATGTATGGATGAATGCATGCAGGGATTGACTCAGGAAAAATGTGAATGTTAGAGTGGCATCAAAATATAGCTGCTAATTCAGCACAGGAAGTGGGAGGGGAGAGACAGCCTCTCAAACTGCAGGGAATATATGAGTTAGGTGTAGTAGCAGTATATGATGGTGTCTTTTCAAGTGTACTAAATTCTGATTTTTTTTTTCTTTAAAAACTCTAAGGTGCTTCAAACACAAAAGCTAGATGATAATAAAATATAGATAATGAACTCCTCAAATTATGCATCCAAGAAAAGCATACATTTATGGTTAGGGTTCAGGATGTGAAAGGGTGTAGGATTAGATGCAATCACAGGTTCATCCTATGGCTTTAAACAGAAGCGAGAAGTTATATTTACTTTTCTTCCTTCTGCCTGGCCTGGCCTTGCCCATCTGTATTTGGAGGCCTTTCTTTATGTTGCTTTAATTACAAGATATCAGTAGTCTAGTATTAGATATGGAGGTTGGTGGCTCTGTATGCAGGAGGGGGGTTGGAGCTTGATGATCCTTAAAGTCTCTTCTAACCCAAGCTATTCTGTGATTCTATGATACGAGTATGTGTCACATATGCAGATGAAGGAGAGAAAATCTGTACACTGTTGTAGTAAGATTTCCTTTAAACAGGTTAGATTATCTGAAGTTTTCATTCCTCTGATTATACTTTGCTATGTTTGCTATGTTATCCTGTATTTTATAACTTGTTTTGATAAGGAAAACAAATTTGGAAACTGGCAACCAGAGTGTTATGTAACTAACGAATCTCTGCACTTCCAAAAGACTTTGGATTTATAATAAAATCTCTTCATATTAAATAAAAACCTGTGTCTGCACACAGGTTTAACATTTATGTAGTTGTTTCTATCATATTGTCTATCTTTCTTAATTCTATTAAATTAAATGAAAAATATAATGATTTTTAAATCAACTGATCTAAACAGTAGGCAAGTATGAGGAAGATCTGCTAGACAATCAGGGGGACTTTACTGTCCCTTATCCCTTTCCCAAAACTCTTCTTTCAGTGGAAGAAGTTAGGTCATTTGTTTTGGGTTTCTAGGCATCAAGTAGCTGAGTTTGAGATATTGCTCCATGTGAAGAATGCAGGAGCCCAACATTCCTCATGACATGCCAGACAGTTGTGAAGGATCTTCCAAATGTAAGATTTATGGTATATAAATAAAAGAACAGATATCCATGAATCTTTAATTTTCACCCACTGTCAGGAACAGAACACCATAAATCTAATTGTTTACTGGGAACCTACTTTTTTTCCTCAAATTAAAATCTACTGGTTAGATTGCTTTGCACCTGAGTTTATCTTTTTTTGTTTTTTTTTCCTGACATTTCCAATGGGAATGAGCAGGTATCTCACATGACCCACAGTTCAGTACTCTGGCCAGCAGAGACATTAATGATAATTTATTTTTACCTTCTGCAAGTACCTCTTAAAGTTATTGCATAAGTCCACTTCAGCGGAACCAAAACAGAGTGGTTAGAACTCAAGATTGATTTTACTACATCAAATTATGGAAAGCCCACTGCAGTACAAGGTTGCTTTTCCTCAGTGTTTAAAATGCATTTGTCATCTCTTATCTGAATTCGGTTGGCTGTTGCTTAATGTCACTGGATGCTGCTTTTCCTTCTCTTATTCCTACTGTTAAACTAAACATCTCTATGGCATCTGCTTGTAGATCCTTACGCGCTGCAGTCAACTTTTTACTTTTTCTTCTTAACCATCTTCAATCAAGTAAGTATTTCACATTTTCATTCTTAACTCTAGTATCTGCACTTTCATGGTTTGGCTTATACCATTGTATAATCACCAAGCTATTTTTAAATGCTGTGCAGCAAAGTGATTTTTATGTTTTTCTTTAGCTATGTGCATTTGTATTTTCAATCTATTTTATCAAAGTGATCACAAGCAATTAGTTTTCCTGCTTTTGGAAAGACTCATAGTAAAATTAAGCCCTGGATGGGAAGACATTTGACAGAAATTTGTAAACTTTTTTTTTTTTTTTTTTTTGGTATATAAAATGCTGCTGTAACATTTGCTTTCCTGGTCTTGTTCTTTATTTACTGCAGTCTTTGACATCTGTCCTTGTCTCTTTTCATCAAATATTTATCTGCAGCAGCTGAAAGAGCCTCATTTGTTTTAATTAAAAATAAGACCACCAAGCTGGGATCACTTCCTCAGCTCTTCCATGGTTTGCAGAGACAGACAGTAGATCTTGTGAGGTTTTCCTGAGGGTGGCCCATTGACAGGCTTTCCTCCTCTCCTTGCATCTTTCTTCTTTGCACAGTGTTTATTTTTGGATAGAGAAATGTAATCAGAGCCACATTCTGAACAAAGAAACATTTTACAGTTAACGTGCATGAGAAAGAAGGAAGATCATGTTGTGTTTTGTTTGGTATTACATTGTAAGAAACTGTTTTCTAATTTGTGGTTTCTGGAATGCCACAGAAACATAGGAATTGTCACAGCAATAAAACCTCCAGTTTAGCTTGCAGGCATGTAAGCAGCAGGCATATAAGAAAATAATGCTGAAATTCTACTGAGGATGGTTGAAATACATTTTTCTTATATTTTTCCTTATCTGATAATACCTGCCTCATGATTTTTCTTTAATTCTTCAGCGTTGACTTAACTAGAAGAAAAAAAGCATACAACAAAGAAGCAAATTAAAATAGCTCATGTCTAAGGTTAATGCTCTTAGGTCATGGTAAAAGCTGATGCCTTTTGAAAGTTCTAGAGCAACCCGTGGTGTTTGGGACATTACTTTTACTCATGACTTCTGGAGATGTGACATGACTTCTGGTCTTTCTTGGGTTCTCAATTAAACTGCACTGCAACATTGACCTTTCTCAGTCATCTTGATTGCCTTTGTTCTTGGTATTATAGTTACAATATTGTACTACAACTTTCAGATCTAAGATCTTGATATTGACAGAAAGAAGAAATAACAACTAGGAATCAGAATTTAATCCTTTCCTTGCAAGATACTGAGACAGGAGACAGCATCATAGCTTAGTTGACTGCACAATAGAGCCATTCAGGAAACTAGATTTTACTTCCACCTCTGCTATTGGATTGAGGGTGACTTTCTTTAAATGCTGTTTCTATTCAGTGAAATGTAACTGTTTATCCACTTTTAAAAGACTTTTTAGAGAAAGCACTACAAACTACCCAAGATTTGATGCCAATTGCTTACAATGGCAAGTGAGACCACAGATAAACTACTTTAAGGGAGATTTTATTAACAAAGATTATGTGCTTGTTGAAAGGATACTAATTAAAGGCTGGGGACTGCTTGCTGTTGTCGTTCTAAATTAATAACTGATGTGTTAATCTTGAAAGTGGAGTGCAGCTGCAAGGACATAGGCTCAAAAGAAACTTGATTTTATAATTCATTTTTATTTTATTTAGCAAAGGATTTATAAATACCAAAGAAGTCTGAATCTGTTTCCGGCAGGAATATTTTTGATTAATAAGAAACTTCTATAACCTAAATGACAGAGTTCAGATATATACTACAGCTTTTTCTACACTTCTTTTTGATGTGAATCTCTAAGAATAGAAAAATCTTTGGAATGGTGTCTTTTATGTCTTTTAAGAGACAAGTAAGTAAAAAAAAGTCAACTGGCTTTCTAAAGCCAGTGGCACACAAAGAAAGAATCCATTGGCATAAAGATAGCGGTGGTGCTGCTGACATACAGATCACGTGCAGTTCTTATAGTGATATTTGGGGATAATATTGGAGAATTTAGTGAAACACTTGGTTTGGGTGAAGCTCTGTCACCAAAACCAGAAGTAATAAACTGCTTTCTCTTTTATTCCTACAATTTCAACTTGAAAATATGAAAACTGTCAATACACAGAATTCTGCTAATTCAGGTATGTTAAATCCTGAGAAGACTGTCAAACTCATAAGGCAAAATTCTGGCTTTGTGGAAATCAGTGTCAAAAATACCAGTTGATGAAAAAGATGCTGAACTTTCACTGGAGTATTTTTCTTCTACTCCAGAAAACAAAATAATGATTTACAACTTCCCATACTAATCCTGCTGCTCAGAAAACCCATGATCTCCATTGTAGTGGGATACTTCTAGTATTTTGGCTTTTATTTTGGATGCAGTCACTTTAGCAGCCCAAATACAAAGTGATTAGGGTGCACAGAACTTTGAAGTGCCAAAAACTATTCTGTCTATAGCTTGGGAATATGGCTACCACAGTTGCCTCTTTATTGCTTCTGAATTCAATTCCTGTTCTGTTTGCCTTGCAAAATTTATGACAGTTTATTTTAAATAACTTCTTAAATTCTGTAATTTAAAGCCATCTTTCTAATACTTAAAAATAATTTCAGGGAAGAGCAACACTACATTAGTAGATTAAACGTCCCATTTGAAACATCTAGACTCTGAAATTGTAGGTTGAGAACCCCAGCAGAAGTCAGCAGATATTTCTGTTCAATTGGCATGACCAACTTCATTGCATTTTTCTTTAGAGGATTTGGACCAGGACCCAAAGTTTCCATCCCTGTATAACAATCTGTACATCAATATGCCATTACTTTTCTGCTCATTCACACACATGTACACACAGCATATACATCTTGCTCGTCCTTCATAGCTATAGCTGTGGTCTGCAAAATGTTGGGCTGTTCAGAGAGAGTACCAGCAGCTATAGAAATCTTTATTTCACTAACTTTAGGAGTGAAGAACTATGTCTCCCAACAAAGTGAGATAAACTAGAACGTCAGAGCAGTTTTCTGTGTGCCATGTGTGAAGACTCTGCACTTGCTAGTGAATCCACCCTCATATTGAAAAAAAAAAAGGAAAACTTGTAGTTTACCATCTATGGGATTCAGAGAAACTGTTTAATTGATGCAGAATGCTCTGTTGACAGTGTCTTGTAAACGTAAGAATGCCATAAAAACTGTACCTGTGCTTACTGACTGTAATGTAATTAAGTGATAAACATCCACTGAAGGGAGAATGTCTGGTGTCAAGACTCCTTTAGAAACATATGGGCAAGGAAGCTTAGCAATTCAAAGACCACACCCAGAGGGACTATAGCACTCGCAGCTACTCAAAAGTCAGTAATTGATTCTCAGACAGGAAGGTCAAAAGGTTTCTTAAAATTAAAAATTATGTTAAAAAAGAGAGGGTAGGGAGGAACAAAGAAAGCATAGAATTGCATTGTCCTAGCATGAAAATATCTACAACTATTACAGCAGCTGATTCAAACTCAGGTTTACAGAGCCATTATACTCATTCATGAGAAGCCTTACTTAATGCTCCAAATCAAGATTTCCAGGCATTCCATCTAATCTTCTAATCCAATAATCCTAAAATCCAGCAATTAAAAAATGTTTTGACAAAGCAACCTGAGGCTCATTCCTCTAATTATGCTGCACAGTTTAAGCTCGCTGACTTCAAATACATAAGTTTGCTCATGCAAAATAGGCAAATGCAGTGCATCTGAATTTACTAGATTAAGAGACTCTTCTGCAGAATGCAGCCTACTAACAGCTTGGACTGAATTAAAACTAGATCAAGACATCTTACTACCACTTTGTGGAAAGTGTTCTCATAAGCAATTGTTTCCTTGCTATGAATGAATGCAATTATGCTTCTAACATCAAGTCATATCTGAGATCAATTGCTATTTAAAAAAAAAAAACTATTTAAATAAACGTATTTAACAAACAGCTTCTAGAAATCCTTCTCATCCTGTCATTTGGATTGGATTTCTCTTTAATCCCTGCCATTTTGCTGGTGTTTCCCAACAGAAAGTGCAGTCTGATGATTCAGAATGAGAGAAAGGAAATATTGTTCAGGTACGGAAGCCATGGAGAGATTAGAAATGTTAGTGATGTAAAGAATTAATATTATGTCCCAGTTAACTAAGATAATTACAAAAATACTTCTATATATTCTTCTTGTGCTAGAATTATGCTTTATCAATCCTAATTAATGCTCTTTCTAGACATCAAATCATTCCTTCCTTTTTTGAGCTTGTTTTTTGATTTGATAGCAGATATTAAAGCTAATGGAGAATGGATTAAATTCCAATCTCATCCTCAAAAAGGACTTGAGATACCTCCCCTGACACACTAGTTTGACAGCTTGCCACTTGCAGTCTTGACCTCTCCAGAAGGAGGTCCCAGTGACTACTAGCACCCACACTGACTTCTTCCTTGTGTTCTGCTCCATGTCCTGACAATCACTCTGCTTTCCTGCCATGACTGTAATGGGTCTGTAGGACAATCTTTAGGGTTGCAAAAGGTTCCCTGAAAGAAAATAAAGGGTAAAAAAGGAGTTTGACTATTAGTATCTGAAATGGCTGGTAAATGGTACTTAGAGGAAGGCATCTGTATTTCAGGCACCATAAAAAAAAAAAAAAAAAAGAATGAGGAAAAGGTGGAGTGAGGGCCAGCTTACCAGGTGTCAAGTGATATCCAGTTTATTGTCTTTCCCTCAGCTGAAGCTGGATGAAGGTGAAAAGACTGGTGAATGACTGGGAAAAGGATTGCACAGCAGGCCTGAGGGGAGCAAAAGCACTTTTGGACTTGTGAAGAATGCAAAAGGATTTGCACTATTTGGTAAGTGAGAAAATTGTGGTGAGAAAATTGTGGAGTGCACAAGGCTTGCCACAACAGCTGGAATAGAAACTAAAGGATATATAGAGCCTGTTGTAACAGAAAACCTACAGGAATAATGTACACAAGAATGTATATGAAACGATGTACAAGAAAACAAAAGTTAAGGAATACTAAAAGTAAACTGAAATCTGTAGGCAGTAGAGACCCTGCAGATGATGCTTAAAATGAGTTCAAAGAGTACACATTTCCAACTGGCTTCAAGCTACCTTTTCAGAATCCTAAATCAGTATTGGGTTAAACATAAAGCCTGCACTAAAGCATCGTGTCTCTGGCAAACTGCTTGTTTGCTAGCAAAACAAATTACAATATTTTCTTTGTGAGCTCTGCTGACCTTCAACCTGGTAAGAGGATAAAATGTTAAAAAGCACAGAAATAGACAAGAACATTTTTTACAAGTGGAACCTTCATAATAGCAAGACTATGTCCGCGTGACAGGAGGGCTTTGGGTTGTTTGCTGTTTGTTTGGAGGATTTAGGAGGGTAATGAACAAAGCAATTGCAGGAGACAAAGACGTTCAGCTTTTTTGTTGTCCCAACAATCTAAGGGAATTGAGTCCACTGGAGTGCCTGGAGTTGTTGTTATAATCCTTTCATTAACCCTTGCATTCCATGAGAGCTCAGTTTTCCATTAGATGTGAGCTGCAATTTGCTTGTCTGTGCCCACAGTTTTCATTTGATTTAATGTTGGCTGTGATTCTTTCTTTGTAGCTTTTTTGTTCCTTTTAGAGGCATAGAATCATAAAACAGCCCGAGTTGGAAGGGACCCCAAGGATCATCAAGTTCCAACCCCCCACCAACCTCCAGATCTGTTAGTAGTGCAGGCTGCCCAGGACTCCATTCAACATGGTCTTGAGCACCTCCAGGGATGGGGCATCCATAGCCTCTCTGGGCAGTCTGTTCCAGCACCTCACCACTCTCTCTGTAAAAAAACTTCTCCCCAACATCTAATCTAAACCTTCTGTCATAACTCTTTTCTCAGGACATGTCCAGTTTTTCCAAGGTTGTCAGCATTATAATTAAGAAATTAAGAGTAAAGTGATACTATTTACGTGGCCACACTGAATCTTTCCCCTTTTCCTACTGATCTCCCACAGATTCTCTGATCTGTCTTTCTTTGTGTGTGTGTGTTCATGTTTTATACATAATTTTTAATCAGAAGCTAGGTGGTCAATTGTTTTACATCACATACTTATTGTGCGGGTTGAGAGGAAAGCCGAGGGTCAGCAGTGTTACTCCTGGATATACTTACTGATACTCCTTATTCTAAAAAGGTGTTGCTATGCACCCGAAATTTTAATTCACACCAGGTTATTAAAATCAAAGCAAAGTGTCAGACTGGAAACAGCCAGAACTAGGGAAGAAAATGACTGTGCTTCAGTCAATAGTGAATCAATTTGTTGGGATCAAATCCCTTCCTGTGAGGGACTGAAACGGAGCCTTTCTGCCCATATTTACTCAGTGAGAACTTGGTGTAAATGGATAGTATTTTGAATATTCTCACTGCTGAAAAAAGAATCATCCATTTTTTTAAGTTATAAAGTAAGGGAATGCTGTTCATTAATTGGATGTTTTACACAGCGAGTAGGAGTTATTCCAGGAAGTACAGTGTCTGTTTTAATTTTATGTTGCAATGCTGCTGACATACTACTCTATGTTCCGGAACCTGAGGTAGCTATATATATCACTACAGCTTGGAAAAGATGGAAAAACATTTCTTATTAATAAGCATGGGCCAAACCATTCTTCAGAAATCAGGTGACTTGAAACTTCACTATACCAACTCTAAGGCATTAGAAAAAAAAAAGTGCATTATTTTTCTTAATTTGAACAGCAAAAATAGAGATTTCTGAAGGTTTAAAATGTACAGAGGCATTTTAAAGTACAAACACATCAACCAAGCCTTGGAGTCCATGTTTAATTGCAAAAAAAAAGGGAAATAAAATATAAATATAAAAGTACATACTGGAAAATACTCCAGGAATATCTGTAACTACTTAGTAAAAAAACTGTCTAGAAATTCTTTAGTATACAGATGGTCTAGAATTCAGTGGAAACAAAAGTATCACATCATAAGTCAGTTGTTTAACATACTCTGTGTTTATATAAACTTTGGGTAGACATAGCATTACTGTAATGTCATAGTTGAGAATTCAGGCACTCAGAGGTCAGAAAATGCAGCGCAGGTCAAACCACAATCATAATTCTCCCTTTTTCTGCTTATGCGTGAAAATATGAGAGTGGATATTCCACCAAATTATGTCAGGTCTCTGAGCGCACTTATAGGCCATAATGGTCCTGACCAGTTTCATCTGGGGCTTACACCCCACAGCTTCCTGCCTGTGGCCTCAGGGGCTTCATTTAAGCTTAGGCCTAGGCTTTCAGTTCCTTCCTGAGCTATGTTATATGTGTGCCTGTGTTTAGCAATGTCTATATCTGTGCTTCATCATAGACCCTGCTGATCTGACCCTGACCTCACCTGACTTCCCAGCTTCTCCTCAGCTCCATCTTGTCACTGTAGACCTGCTTGGTGATGATGGGGCTGAGCCTGACCTGCAGACTGATTTTCTGCTTTCACATCACACCTGCCTTGCCTTTGCAAACTTTACTTAAATCCGGACTTTTAATTAGCCCTTACTGCCACTCTGGAGCCTTCTCTCTGCTTTCTTGCTGTTACTGTGGGATGGGGCCCTAGCTGATGAGGCTTCTGCTGTGCTGGCTGTTGTGTCACGATGGGATTCTTAGGCAAGTGCCATCTTTTAGTGTGCCCTGACGATTTGAGCTTTACATTATCATTTATACTTCTATGGAGCGAGAGCATGACTTCCCTATGAACTCCTATTTTCCACAGAAAGACTTAAAGGCTCAGCCTAGATTCAGACACAGCAAGTATGGGTCACTAATGAAGGGATAAAAAGCAGTTATTAAAATAACTGCTGCAAAAGTATGACAATGCGATGATACTGACAAATTGTACATTAAAACATTTCTTTAGAAAATATATAACTTTAAAATCTTGAACATTTAAGAGTGAAATTCTGTGTAAGATCTTGAAAAAAACCCAAATATTTTAACTGTCTTCCAGTACTTGGCTCTCTATTTACCATTTGTTTTTAAGAATTTCTAGACTTCTGTTAAGAAATGAGACTACTTTTAGAAAAATACAGATTAATGATTTGGTGGTTGTTTATAAATTTGTGTCAGAAAGGCAAAACTCCTCCACCTCTGCTTTATTTTTTCTAAGACAAGCATTTCAACAGAAGACATCAAAGAAAATATTCAGCATTTACAAGCCGACAAGGCACTGTGTGCTGCTATTCTAAAGTGTTTTGAAAGATAAAAGGTAAAAATGTTGGCATCTTTCAGTTCATTGGTTCCTGGTAATTTCATGGGGGCCAAAACCTTACCCAACAGCTAAAACAGGAAGACCATTCTGCCAAATGAAATATTTCCAGAGGAAAAAAGTTAGGAGAAGTCTCCTGGCAAGAATAACAATGCACAAGAGAAACCTATCAGAAAAGTTGCTGCTCAAAAACATTCTCATGAGCAAAATATGTACTCACTTTGCTCAGCCAAAGAAACTTCAAGCAGTTAAGGAAGAGGGAGGATAGGGGAAAAGTCTTAACCTGTTATCTTTCAGTAAAGTATGGCTAGAAAAGCAGTGGCTCTAGGACTGAAAGTGTGAAAGCTCAGGTTGGTACCTAAGCTGTCTTGTTCTGTTAAGGTTCATTTGCCAGTTCCAAGATGAAATTGTAAAGACTTTTTCAGAGTTGTAAAAATCTGAATTCAAAAGAGACTTGAAAAAAGCATCAGAAGAAAAAAATGGTCTTTTGAAGTTTTATATTTGAGGAAAGAACTGGATTTCTGCCTTTAAAGCAAGCCTTCCTGACATTAGAAATCCAAAAAAACTCATTGTGGCCAAAAGCCACATTGCATATACTTATCTTAGAGAGGAAGGGGGAGGGAGATCAGTTCACAAGCAGGAAATGGCTTCCAGGTGTCTTCCCTACTGCAGTACACAACTCTATCAGTACAACTCAGTGATGCCAGGCTCAAAAAACCCCAGCTGCCTTGCTTCTTTCTCGGGTATTTGATCTAGATAGCATTAATACCACTCTTATTCTGGTGAAAAACATAACTCTGGCTCTGGATTAGTGCAGGCTGCAGTTGACTGACAAAGTCTTGGGGAGCTTTCCTTAATCAGCTATGAGTGTGTGGAAATAAGCAAAGTACATACGCATACAGCTACATCTGTGTATGCACTCATACCCCTGTGAATAGAAGTTAAAAACACATCTGTTTCTGGAGCTGGACAACAAATCAGGCACTCTGCTTCTTGTTGCGTAGTGGAAAGAAGGAAGTAACTGTATGTGACACTCTTTCCTTCCCAGCACTCTGCACAGCTGGTGAAAGTGGAGGAAAAAATTAATTCTATTTATTCTACCCCAAGGTCTTATTCCCCCCTCCCACCTCTCTTCTCCAGCAGCAGAAACACTTCCTTATGATTTTTTGTTGATGGCGGTGGTTTTTTTCTGTGCAAGTATAGTAGGAAGAGGTTTCTGAAACTGCTTGTTAATTAAGAAAAAAAAAAAATTACAAAAAAGTAATCAGCTTCTCTGACACAGAAGTTAGTTTTCAGAAGTACTGTTTAAATATTCTCTTTTGGCCTCTTCCCCATGGCAAGTTTGAATTTGTAGCATTAAGCTGATCGAAAAATGCTGCTATCCATTCTACTACATTACTGACATTAGTATGAAACCAGGTCATGATAGTAGTCTGTCTTTACTTCTCAGTTCATAAGAAACCATGGCAAGCTTGAAAATCTAGTCTACCAATTCTACTCATAAAACAGGAAAACAATCTGGCAGAAATTAACTCTCTGTATATCCTGCTATATTACCCACTTTTTGTGTACTTACTGCTTAGCCTCTTCCCAGA